TTTACCTTTTTCTTTAGTTTCTTCCTCTCTTCACATCTCTGTTTTTCTATTACAGCCTTATTCATTGTTTATTCAGCCTTAAGCTTCTCTAAATTTAGATTTAATTTACAAAATAATTCTTTCTTTCATTTTTGCTTCCCAATTTTTTTAGAACTTTTCTTCCTCCAGTCACTTATAACTGAGTTCTTCTAAATTGTGATTTTTGCTATTATTTCATATTTTCTATCATTTCCTTAAATCTTTTAGCTCATTTTGAAATATTTAGTAAGAGTTTTCATCTATTTGGTGAGCATATTTTCCTTGAAGTTTTTGTTCTCTGGGAAGTACACTGTGAGTTATCTTGGCATGTTGGATGTTTATTAATAAATGCATGAGATTAACACCTGTGAGTGGGGGGAGAGGGTATTGGACAGAGATAAAAATCAAGTTTAATGAACTCCTAGTGAGAGTCTCAGTTTACCCAATGTTGAACTTTGTAGCTAGAATGACCATTATGAGGTATCCTGAGTTGGATCATGATGGGCAAGGATTTAACAACCTAACTCAATTGGTGTTTGGGTTTGGTCCATTCCAGAAATGATTGTTACTTTGGACAAGGTGTCTGTGTTGCTGACAAAGTGCCCAAAAAGGCTGACATGTGAAGTCTGTCTACCGGCAGCACTACCATAATCTGGGGCAACAAGTCCTTTACTTGAAGGAGAATCTGAGCATTACATCTGGGTTTTCAGTACACAGGCACACAGTTATTTCCTATAGGGATGTTGCTTTATATATTTTTATTATAATATCTTTTTATTCCCATATGAGCATAATCTTTTCCTGAATTCATGTTTATATAAGATTGGGTTTAATGTACTCTTGAAAGGGATGATCTATAATAATATTCGTGGTTTTGTAGCTGTCAAGCTCCCTCTTGTGTTGTCTTCAGAAACTATAGCTGTTAATTGGAGGCTTTAAACTTTTCTTCTTTTGGCTTGATGTTCACAGATTGGCCAACTTATTTTTAAGTTATTTACATTTAGCAGTTGTTTTTTGTTGTTCCTGTTGTTCTCCTGATATCAGGACTACCAGAAGTTGCTCTCCTCTGCTTTTCTTTTCACAATTCCTAGCACTATATTCTGAGTTTCTTGAGTATATTGTGTTGGTTAGATTTTAAAAATGTTGTTATGGGGGTTTTAATTCCCATTTTCATTCACTTTTCCCCTGATCTTATTTTTAAATTAAGAGATAATTTACACAAATAAAATACAAGTATTTTAAGTTAAGTTATTTGAGGTTTTACAAATGCGTTCACCCATTGAACCACCACACCAATCGAGAAATACATTTTCGTCATTCCCAGAAGTTAATTCATGCTACTTTCCAGTTGATTCCCTACCTAGAAACAACAAATACTGTGCTGATTTTTATCAGCATAGTTCAGCTTTCATGACTTGAGTTAGATATATATGTAAAAATATAGTATGTACTCTTATGTATCTAACTTCTCTCACAAAACTTAATGCTTATGAGGTTCATTCACCTTGCTGCACGTATAGTAGTGTGCTATTTTGATTGCTGAATAGTGTTCTTCTGAATAAATATGAGAAAATATATTTATTCTTTTATATGTTGATGGACATTTGATTTATTGCCAATTGCCTGCTTTTATGAATAAATCTGCCATGAACATATTTTGAACAAGTCTTTTGTGGACATTTGTTTTCATTGCTCTCTCAAATGTCCAGGAGCAGCATCGCTGGGTCGCAAGGTAGTTATATATTTATGAGGATACTTCAAAAAGTTCATAGAAAAATAGAATTAAAAGATAATATCAATGTTTCCATGAACTTCTTGAAGTACTCTCATAACTCTGTAATATGCTGCCCAAATGTTTTTCTGACGCCACATCACACCCCCACGAGGAGCTTCATATTCTCTCCAACTTTAGTACTGCCCGTTTTGCTTTGTTTTGTATTTTTAATATATAAGTCATTCTAGTGGTATAAGTAGCCGTATTTCATTTAGTTTTCTTTATTATTACCTTGATATTTAATTACGTTGAATTATTTTTTATGTGCCCAATGACTATTCAAATGCCTTTTCAATAAATGTCCCAGTGCCCATTCTAAGATTATTTCTAAATTATTCAATTGCATTAGTTAATTATGTATACTGGATTAAATTTGTTTATAAGATATAGGCCAATTGTATTAGTTAATTATGTATACTGGATTAAATTTGTTTATAAGATATAGGCCAATTGTATTAGTTAATTATGTATACTGGATTAAATTTGTTTATAAGATATAGGTATTATGAATATTCTTCCCCAGTTTGTGGTTTGCATTTCTATTTTCTCAATAGTGTCCTTTTATTTAAAAAAAACAAACAAACATTTTTTACTGAAATATAATTAATCGTACCTATCTGTGAGGTGCAGTGTTGAATATGAATACCTATATGCAATATGTGATAGCCAAATCAGAAAATTATTAGATTCAGCAGTACAAAATATAATTATTTTTTATGGTCCTTTACTGATTGCTCACTAACACCCCTTCTCCTCCCTCCTCCCACCTCTATTAGCCTTAGTTCTTTTCCCTCCTTTTGAAAGGTCAAGAAATTATTGTGATTGTTCTATCCTTCTTTCTTTCTTTTTTTTTATTTATTTGTTTATTTTTTTAGCTTCCACTTATGAGTGAGGACATGTGGTATTTCGCTTCCTGTGCTTGGCTTATTTCACTTAACATATTTTTTTCTTTATTATTATTATTATTTATTTATTAATATTCATGAGATAAAAAGCTAATTTCCCTGCTGCTGGCCATGATGTGAGGGCCAGGTTCGTATTGGGGGCATACCCATTGCCAGAAATTGCTTTTGTACCCTTTCAATTTTCCCCAACCTCCCTCCCTCTCCCTCTCTCCCCTGAACCTCAATTCCTAGCCCTAGGAATGCTCCCTCCATCTGTTGGATCATGGGACTACTGTGGTCTTTCTTTCCTGCCTTCCTTTCTCTCTTAGCTCCCACATATGAGTGAGCACATGTAGTATTTATCCCTCTTTGATTGCTTTGATTGTTTCACTCAACTTAAATTTCTCCAGGTTCATCCATGTTGTTGCAAATGGTAGTACTTCATTCTTTTTTATGGCAGAGGAGTATTCCAGAGTGTATATATACAACAGTTTCCTTATCCAATCATCCGTTGAT